TATATACATACATATATTGAACATTGTGTCTATTGTTTCAGTGAATATTTTGTTTAGTTTTCCTTATTATCATGTGCCTGTTACAGTTGAGGCTGATACCTTGAAGAGGACGTCCAACGTTTCCTTCTGTCGATGCTGATGAAATCACATGAGCAGAAAGAGCTGGCGAGCCAACAGCAAAGTTGAGGAGGGAACATCTCAGTTGTGGAAGCGACAGCGTCAGACCAGGTAGTGCGAAAACCTTTAGAGAATGAGATATATGGGTGAAAAAGTACAATGTTTACTGTGGAACTATCGTACAATTATTAAAGCTTAACTCTTGTCCGACCAGGCCAAAAAAATCCTCCACTGGCCCAGGGCTTTTCCCTGACTGGTTTTACACCCCTATCTCACCACAGGAAAATGTCAAAACATCCAACTAAACACACACAAACCATGTCTTATGGCCCGTCAAACGGAAGGGAAAACGATAATCTGTCAGATGGTCGTACAATATTGAAGATTTATTCCAATTATATTAGATTTTGGTTTTTAAAACTAATTATGCAATATCAAAGGTGTCGTATGAAATCAACAATTTTCCAGCTTTGAAAGGTCATAACTAAAAAAGTACAACAGCAGCATCATTCACACTTCCCAGGTAAGTAGCCTCAAGTCATGAAAAGAAATGCTGAAAGTTATGTACAGTCGAACCTGCCTTAACGGAAACCTGGAGAAAACAGAAACCTGTCTTAGCGGAATATCCCCACTCCCCCCTTGATATATTCCTCTTTAATTACCTGTAGAAAACGGAAACCTGTCCAACACGGAAACGGCAAGAAAAATCCGCTCCCTTCCGAGTGTTTCACCTGTCTAAGTCTAAGTCTAAGACGGAAAATGCTTTGCCCGCTCAGCCCTGATTTGAAACAAAACTCGCAAGTTTGGTTCCGCCGGCTCTAAACTTAACGCTATGGCACAGAATTCTACACTTATAGAACGGGAACTGTATCACGTGACCTGTGAGGAATTGAAGACCGAAAACAATGGCGTCTTGAGGGCACGATTTATCGTTTTCGGAAGTAACCCTATAGCAAGAGCGGCTTTTACAAACGAGTGAAGAGTGGAACATTTACTGTCCAGTTTGTAATTTTGAGTTACAGAATTCACTGTGCAACTAGAGATTGGAATTAAGGTTTTAAATTGTTGTGTTTTTGGGTGCAACAACAGAAACAGCAGACATAGAGAGTTTATAAATATAAGATCTACAGAACTGTGAAAAAAATCGCAACACGGATGGGATTGTTCACAGCACTTCTAGCTTCCCACACCCATTTTGCAGACGCATATGGCCTACGTAATTTTTTAGTAGCAAAACTTGTTACAAGAAATTTGTTTTACACTGAACATATTTTTTCACTAGATTTATATCTATTTAATGTTCTCAAAACATGCGTTCAATAATTAGCTTTATGTCGCCAGCAGAAGGAGAAAAAAGGACGGACTTGCTTTTAAAATAGATTTAGCTCCAGCTATGAACTTTTTAAAAATCTGTAGAAACCATTGACTGGGATTTTTTTAAAATATTGGGCTAGATCTAGTATTTATTAAAGAATTTTCTTTTTAAAAATTTCTAGAATAATATAGAACCTATAGATGTGTACAAATGTTTGAAAAAAATACTCATCGGTTAAGACGAATTGGCTAAGTCATTGTGTAAAAGTAGGCGAGTCTAGATCTAGGTGTTTGATAGTTCAGTAGCCTAGATATTTGATAAGTTGCGCATCAAATTCTTGACCGCACGCTACAGTAGTAGAGATAGCGTATTATCAGGGGCGGTTTGTTAACTGGACAAGACCGGCGGTGCCGGTCAAATTTTTGTCAACTGGACAGTTGACAAGAGATTTATTGCTGATGATGATTTTCATTCAGTTTTAAGTAAATCCAAACAAACATGTATCAACAGTCAAAAAGCGCCTTGCCGATTTGAAGGCGTTCAAATAGAAAAGTGATTCACAGCTGTTTTGTCGCGTTTGTTTATCACGCCGGCTCACAACTGTTACAGTTAAATCGTCTCCTGTCACGTCGCGGAACTTCGTGCGAGGACAAACCGAACACAGCTCGCTCAGCGATGACGTCAGTC